TGCAACAACATTGCACGATTCACCTCCCAAAATTTATTCAAAAAAAATTATTTTCTTGTACTCTTTAATCTCCTGTTTAATGGGGGCTCAAGTGTCGGGGCTCAAGTGTCGGGGCTCAACTGTTGGGACTCAACTGTCGGGTGCTCAACTGTCGGGTGCTCAACTGTCGTGTCACCAAATTTCACATCAACCATCAGAATTGCATGTGAATTTTTTCTGAAAGAATAAATATTTTATAGCGAAAAAAGATCTATTCATTACAGCTAATATCTTCTCTTTCAACATTTTATTTTAAAAACATTTTATATGATGAATATGACACGACATTATAATTAAAATGTGGAAAAAAGCGCTACACATTTTTACATTCACACGATATTTCCTTTGACTTATGCCTAATATTAGAAGAATAAAAGAATCGTTGAGTACCGTAATCAACCAGTAGATTATTAATCGCTTGTTTCCACAATCTATTTGGGTTTTAAAATTAATATCGAACGAAAAAACTCTTGATATGATAAAAAAGATTATTGTTATATGAAGTCTCAACAATTTCTTTACAACAAAAAAGAAAGCTTGTTAGCGCAGCCCCTTCGGGGCTGAAATGTGGAACTGACATATCCTCTCTAGCCTCATTAAACTGATACAAAATACGTAAAGTGACCAACCTCTCGTAGGTTATAGATGTTTTGCAGGATAATCGATCATCAGAGTAGGACCTCTCTAATTTCTGCATTTCGAACAGAAATTTTCTATTTTTTTCTACGGGCGTTCTATTTTCTGTTTGCATTGCTACTATTTACTCATTATTTTTCATTTTTTTAAATTCATTTTTCTTGGGGTGTGAGTGTGCGTGTTGGAGGTATGGGTGTGCTTGAAATCAAGTGGTACACCCATATTCATATCCACCCGCAGCCACACCCACACCCTTGGTGATAAAGGTTCTTTTACTTGAATACAAGGTGGTGATATAGAACGAATAAAATTTGCTATTGAAGCTGCTGGAGATATTGAACGACTTAAATTAATTGTTGATGTTGATGAAGAATTAGCAGCTGATGAATCAACATTAATTTGTCGTGAATGATGATGAATGACTGTTGTTGTTGCAATAGATGCACTTAGTGAACGACGAGATGAACTTGGAGATATATGTTTAGATTTAACCTGAGATGATGATTGTTGAGAACGAAGTAAATTTGAACTCAAATTTTGTAATTATGGTGACATTGGAGCAATAGGTGTACTCGAAGATATATTCATTTTTGATGATGAAATTATTGTTTCATTATTTTCTTTTTCATTTATTTTATTAGATATTTGTTGTTTAGATTTTTTATTTTTACTTTTTGTTTATGTGTATTACAATTATTAGCAATTGTTACAGCCATTTGTCGAGGTTGTAAATGTAAAAATGATGTTTTAGAAGTAACACTACCTAAGGTTTCTGGTAAATAATTTGAATGACTATAAAATTTAAAACGTGTACCCCAAATATTAGCTGCAATTGCACATCATTTATTAGTCTAGAAAAGAAAAGTAATTATTTTAGTGAGCATATATGAATAAACATATTTTTGTCTTACATATTTATTTTTAATTGTTTGTTTTTGGTGTAAAAAATTTAGATTATGATTATCTTCTTCAGCTGAATTGTTTTCAGCACTATAATTTGAATTACTTTTTATTAGTGTTAAATGATCATTATCACTATTAACATCTATTTCAGCTACATACGTTTATCAAATTTCGATGACTTATTAAACTTGAACGATAATTATATTTATTAATAAATTTTGATTGTGATATATTATGAAATGTATTTGAACGTGGTTTTATTGATAAAAAAAATTTTTTTGTTATAATTTCGGGCGAACTTATTTTTGACAATGATGATGATAAATCATTTGTTTTTATTTATGGATCATATATAATAAAATCTGGACAAATTTGTGATATATGTTTTGCTGTTAATAATGGTATAAGACCACCAAGAAATTCTAAATATAAAATATAAACAGCTACTGATAAATTATTTTTGTGCTGATGAATTTTCTATTTCATTATCAATACGTTTCATTGTACATTGTAAACGAAGATGAGATTTTAATGGATAACATACAAACAAACGTATAGTTTTTTGTTCTGATAAAAAAACCTTTTATTGTTGAACGATATAAATTAAAAAGATTTTGTTTTAAATTATTTGGTAAATAAATTTTATGAAAAATTATCTAAGGAATTAGTTAATAAATATTGTTTTATTTTCATCTGACATATTGTTAACATGGACGGTAATGGTTTATGTGTTATTCATATTGTATAAACAAATGAGGCACATGCAACAAAAACAATTTCTAGAAAGTAAAAATTGATAAAAGATTTATGTTGTTGTTGTTTTTTATCATTTGCCATCAGCCCAGCATAGAGCAGATAATGGTTGAGCCTAGAAATAAAAATACAATATAGATTCAAAAAAAGTTTTAGCATAAAGTACTATGTCATGATATGTAGAGATGATAGTGAACGCGAGATATCTTAGCAACTACTGTCCTGCAGTCTACACTGATCAAGTGTTTGTAATGATCATTTAATTTTCTCGATGAAGAATTCAACAGTTCGTTATCAATTGTGTTTTACAATATGATCCCAATTCGATCAATTGTCTTCGAGCAAATATGACATCACTTGCTGTTTTATTCCTGTTTCTCTCTTTTTTACATAGGGCGATGAAAAAGTTTTCGGAATATCTTGGTTTTTATTAAATAAATAGTAATTTCGAAAACCTTATTTCATTAAACGTTCAAGGTACTTGTCCTTATTTGTCACACGAAGTCTCATCCAATTAACTCAATTGTTACATATCTTTTGAAATCGAAAATGTGATATAGCATGAGGCTCCCTGGTTACAACTTGTTTTAAAGATTTGAAATGAGAATCACTGCCTAATTAATGATGAGGATGAGTTTCGATGGGTGAACAGCAGTGCCTGAGAAAGAGGAGCTCAGGTTGGGTGAAGGTAGACGGTTGATGGGTCTAAATTATAATCTCATACATCCATCCACGATCGTTGTCTCATGCCAACTCACTTTCACTCTGATCATTAATCGTCCATCCTCAGATCTCCAATATCTGGATTGTCACTCACTCATCGTCGTCTCGTCACTTTTCCTAATTGCCACTGATGTATTTTTGCTCTTCCTGAGTTTTTTTTTCTCGGTCACTGCCGTTTACCCGTCGAAACTCATCTTCATTATTAATTAGGCAGTGATTCTCATTTCAAATCTTTAAAACAAGCTGTAACCAGGGAGCCTCATGCCATGTCACATTTTCGATTACAAAAGATATGTAACAATCGAGTTAATTGGATGAGACTTCGTATGACAAACAAAGATAAGTACCTTGAACATTTAATGAAATAAGATTTTTGGAAATTACCATTTATTTAATAAAAACCAAGATGTTTCGAGAAATTTTTGATTACCCTACTCACATTGTATATTCAAATAAATGTAATCATTCTGAATCGTGATGAACAATAATCAGAAGCTTCGATAAATTGTGCATCGTCCTGGTACGGATAATCATATAAAAATTGAGTCTTTTTTTTTTACAGATAGGTTGATACTAGTTGACATTATTTAATTCTCTTCTTTTATTTTATTTTATTTTTAATTTTTAAATTTAAAATTTAAAATTTGAAATTTGAATCAATTTAATATTAATAGTTTATTTAAATTTAAAAATTTACAAATTGTGACGTTTCGTATCTCGATAAGATACTTCATCAGACATGAAAGTTAAGACAAATGACATGTACATACAAACAAATTTTCTTTTTTCTTTTCTTTTAATATTAGTCATACTTTTGATAGTGATACGGAAAACAAGACGGTAATAGTAATAGCTAGCTAAGGATTGAATCCTTTTCCGTATCACTATCACCGTCTTGTTTTTCGTTAAGTTTTTGTTCTT